GAGCCTTCTGCGTGGGCAACAGCTTGCTCTTCACATTTTTTTCGCCCAGGCTTTGATTCTACCTATTTTTTTTCTGTGCCGTATCAGAGCCTGGCGTTGGCGACCATGTTTAAGCTCATGGTTGTACAAGGGAGTGTACGGAGGTGTATATATATGTATATATATATATATATATATATATATATATATATATATATATATATATATATATATATATATTTTTTTTTTTTTTTTTCTTTTTTTTCTCTTTTTTTTTTTTGAACAGCTATTCAATCCACTAATGGACACAGACTTCTCTCAATTCACTATTGAGAGGTTATGAGGCTATATGGCAGCTATACCTTGAATGATTGGATTCCATTCATAATCAACCTCCGTTCGGCGGTCTAACACTTTGCCACAGCGGCGATTTCCCTGCGACATTTGCGTTTGACTTCTCAAGGCGATATGTCGTTTTCTCGGGCTCGACCCAGAAGTCAGAGCGCAGGCATTTTTTACGACCGCCGCGACGGGGAACTGAATTGAGTCCAGTGCTCTAACCACCATCTTTCTTTTGGTGTAGCTTTGTCCCATTCTTATATGGGGTAGCTATTGCAGATATCTTTTTTTATGGCCGGATGCCCTTTCTGACGCCAACCCTCTCTATTTACCCGGGCTTAGGACCGGCACTGACTTAGCTTGCCTACCCATTGGCTAGTATGCACAGAGAGGTATACCGTCTCTCTCATGTGATTCTTGGAATATTTATTCCCAAGTTTAAAATATTAAGGTTGCAATAGTGTAATGTATAAAATCATTAGCATGGGTGGTAATGAACGGTAACACCTCGCCAACTCGTTCATAAAACCCGTTGTCCACAATATTTATTAAGTGAAAGACGAAATGAAAGCCAGATTCAAAGGATAAAGAAGAATAGAAATAAAAACTAAGCCAATTCAATAAAACACGTAAGTAAAATCATATGAAATATCACCGGAGATATAAAAGGTAAAAATAAAGTAAGAGAAATAACTAAGAATTGTTTCATGTGGTACTGATCACATTTATAATACAAATAAATACCTCGGGATACTTAAAAACAAGTAAAAGACTTAATAAAATACACCAAGAATGATAAAAGAATAAAACTTACTGCGAAAACTATCCCACAGACATTATTTAGTTATTCATGTATAGGGAGAAACAGGTAAGCAAGCTCATTAAGGTGGCAGACTAATGGGTATGCATATCGTTTCGTATTGAGTGCTGCAATGTTGCATGGAGACGGATTCCTCAGCTTACATATACATATGTATATATATGTATATATGTGTGTATATATATACATATATATATATATATATATATATATATATATATATATATATATATATATATACATATATATATGTATGTATACACACACACACACACACACACACACACACACACACACACACACACACACACACACACACACACACACACACACACACACACACACACACACACATATATATATATATATATATATATATATATATATATATATATATATATATATATATACGTGTGTGTGTGTGTATGTTTCTGACTCCAATAGCTATAACAAAAAAATGTATAAACATATATACATGCATGTCCATTTTTTCCGAAAGATCCAGACATACAAAAACGCTCACATGAATCCGTATACAAAAACGCTCACATGAATCCGCATTCAAAAACGGGTCTGTTTTGGTCCTGAGGAAACACGTTGAGAAAGAGACGAAACAAGGCAGCAGTCGTCGTCATCGCCATAAAATCCCTAAGACTCGACGATGGGGAAGAAAGGAGCGAAAGGATCCGGCCTGGGCAGGAGCATAATCAAGGACAGGTTTGCAGGCAGACAGAAACCAGGATCTTCTTTAGTAAGTAAAAGAATTGGTCTGATGACGACTCCTTATGCAATTGCTTGATATTTAGATACGTCTTCGTAAAGCCATACCCATCCCTCTCTTTATATAAATGTATGTATTTATTATAGTATTTGTTTATGGTTTTACGTATAGAAACCCAAAATCCAAACCTAACCTTTCCTACCTTCTACTTATTCACTATCTATTTATTCCCGACATTAAGAATTCTGGCTGTGTGAGGGGGTTATATACTTAGTCTCTCAGTGGTAATATGCAGAGGATATTTTTGTCATTTTGCGGTAAATATGAGACCACTGCAACTGTACTTGTATTGTTTATTACTCTATTTTTTGTGCTCTATAAGATGTCAGTGTCCATTTCCTTCTCTCTCGGTAACATTAACCATAAACTTACACAAAGGAATAGTCATTTAGGTTTAAAACATTCCTTGGTATTTTATTTAGGCTGAGGCTATGTTTACAGTAATGCAGTGTCTACTGACAATATTTCCTGGGGTTCCAGTCCTAGCATGGAATTTTGAAACTCTTCTGTATCGAATCGAATCAGTCACTATATTGTCTAATGCAGGAAGCTGTCCTGCCTGCAATTCTCCTCCTGGAGGGCAGCCACCCCCAACCCCGGCCCAGGAAAACAAAGAATCCTCCACGGATTCACGACAGGAGAGGGTGTTGGTCAGACTCGGAATTGGGCACATGTCGGTTGTGCGCTAATATATATATATACATATATATATTTTTTTATATTTATATATATATATATATATATTTATATATATATATTTATGTATATATATATATTTATGTATATGTATATATATTTATGTATATATATATATTTATGTATATATATATATTTATGTATATATATATATTTATGTATATATATATATTTATGTATATATATATATTTATGTATATATATATATTTATGTATATATATATATTTATGTATATATATATATTATATATAATATATATATATATATATATATATATATATATATATATATATATATATATATATATATATATATATATATATATACATAAATATATATATATATATATATATATATATATATATATATATATATATATATATATATATATATATATATACATAATTTGTATATATATATATATATATATATGTATATATATATTTGTATATATATATATATATATTTGTATATATATATATATTTGTATATATATATATTTGTATATATATATTTGTATATATATATTTGTATATATATATATATATATATATATATATATATATATATATATATATATATATATATATATATATATATATATATATATATATATATATATATATATATACAAATATATATATATACATATATATATTTTTTTATATTTATATATATATATATATATATTTATATATATATATTTATGTATATATATATATTTATGTATATGTATATATATTTATGTATATATATATATTTATGTATATATATATATTTATGTATATATATATATTTATGTATATATATATATTTATGTATATATATATATTTATGTATATATATATATTTATGTATATATATATATTTATGTATATATATATATTTATGTATATATATATATTTATGTATATATATATATATATATATATATATATATATATATATATATATATATATATATATATATATATATATATATATATACATAAATATATATATATATATATATATATATATATATATATATATATATATATATATATATATATATATATATATATATACATAATTTGTATATATATATATATATATATATGTATATATATATTTGTATATATATATATATATATTTGTATATATATATATTTGTATATATATATATTTGTATATATATATTTGTATATATATATATATATATATATATATATATATATATATATATATATATATATATATATATATATTCACTTATTTCCTTAACCCAATTGCCCCATATGGCAAGAATACATGCCATGCCCAATGTAATCCTAGTTTATTTATTGTATTTACACATAGATGGCTCTACAAGTTTTTAGTCACCAAGGAGTCAGTTATTAGTCCTCTGTATTTGTGTCACCTGTTTACCCTTTTCCTCGACTTTTGGAAAGGGTCTTTTGTATTATTTCATTGTCTTAAATGTTATTGAGATTTTAATTACAATCTCATGATTATAACATCAATAACAATAATAACATGTCAACTGTATTAAAAAGAAAAACACATTTTCCCGCCAATTCAAGGAATAGGAAAATCAGGATCACTAGGGCTACTGATAGATTCCTTGCCAGTTGAGCACATGTGGAGCCATCTGTATGTAACAACATTCACAAAAAACTACCGGGGAGAGAACATAAATTGAGCGGGAATGGGTTAGATATATTTATTTATTTATTTATTTACGTGTGTGTGTGTGTGTGTGTGTGTGTGTGTGTGTATTTATATATTTATATATGTAACATTTATGTAATATATATGCAATATGTATGTGATGTATTACATGTGTTTATATGTATGTGTGTGTGTGTGTATGATACATATAGATATATATAGATATATATTTATTTATATGTGTGTGTGTATATATATGTATATAAATATATATATTTATATATATATTGTATATATATATTTCAATTTTTTCATGCCTTCTCTCTATATAATGTTTTTTTTTTTTTTGGTATCATTTAATGTTTTTTTTTTTTTTTTTTTTTTTTTTTTTTTTTTTTTTTTTTTTTTTTTTTTTTTTTTTTTTCCCCAGTTGCACACTTCAGAACTAGCAGATGGACAAGAGTGGAACCGGATCAATTTCATGTCCATTACTGAGCAAACTGATGTGGACGATTTCCTAGCTACAGCTGAATTGGCAGGTACTGAATTTCAGGTAAGTTTGTGAAGTCTGCTAGTTGTGTATCTTAAGGAAAATGATTATTTTATTTCTGTTCTTTCTTTCTTTCTATAAAGTTTGCCATTCTTTACTCTGTCATAAAGTTACAAAATATTGTGACAAACCAAACTCCAGGTACATATCAAAATCAATTTAAATAAGGGTGTTTTGTATTTGTCTTTGGAAAATTTCTCCCCAAGAATACACACCACTCGAGAATATTTTGGACCTTTTAGTTTCACTATAGAGCTTCATACATACAAGAGTCTGTTTCTTCTTCTTCTTGCTCTTCTTTTTGTATTTGAATCTTTACATATGTTCTTGAATGTAATTCTGAATAAGGAATTATGTAGTATGTTTCAGATATTCCCTCTATCTATTTATTTATTTATTTATTTTATTTAGGCTAGGGACCCCCAAACGTTTTTAGACCATTGACTCCCTTTTGGAACCCTTAATGTATCACTGGCAAAAGTACACAAATTTTATTATTTTGCACATTTCATTTCCAAAACAAATGACAGATTTTGACCACGGGAATTCACAGTTAACCCAGGCATTTATCAACCACTTCTTGTCTCCAAGGCATTTTTTGATTCAATGGTTGGTGCCATCAACCCTGAATGATTATTATCAACCACTTTAGAGACCTTTGGCTTTAAAAAGTCATTTCCATATTCACAAGCATCTAAAGCTAATAATGGTTTTAATGCAATTCTTGTGCTAGGTACATAACTTTTGGCTAGCCATCTTCATTTGGTCTTCTTTTCAACTTCCTTCTACAGGCAGAAAAGCTCAACATAAAGTTTGTGCCTCCAAGTTCAAAGTCAGGAATGTTAACCGAGTCAGAAAAAAAGAAAATCAGAGAAGCTCAAGACGCAAATAAGATGCATCTCAGAATCCCCCGAAGGTCAGTACAAGGTCAATGAAGGTGTGAATGAACCTCTCATCAAAATTACACAGAAAGTACTTATTATTGTTGATGTTAGCCATACTAAATTTTATATTTGTGTTTTTACATTTGCAGGCCACATTGGAATATAACCACGACTCCAGAAGAATTGGCTCAAGCAGAACGTGACAGCTTCCTAGAATGGAGGAGGAGTTTGGTGCAACTTCAAGAGGTGGAGGGACTCACCCTTACTCCTTTTGAGAAGAATCTGGAGTTTTGGAGACAACTATGGAGAGTTATTGAGAGGAGGTATGTCAGTCTGATGGCACATAGATAGCAGATTGATACAGAGACTATATTCAGTTGTACATGCACTAAGTTTGTTTACTTATAATTTTGCTAACATGAAAAGCTAGTTTCCCTTTTTTCTGATTTCCCCTTTTCTTTTTCTTTTTTTTCCGATTCAAGTGATGTTGTAGTGCAGATCGTTGATGCTCGCAATCCATTACTCTTCCGCTGTGAGGATCTGGAAGCTTATGTTAAAGAAGCGTCAAAAGAAAAAGATAATCTTTTGTTGGTTAATAAGGCTGACTTTTTGACCAAGGCACAGAGAGAATCCTGGGCAAAATACTTCAGAGAAAATAATATTAAAGCCGCATTCTTCTCAGCACTAAGCAGCCAAGAGCTAGATGAAATACAAGAGGAGGAGGAAGATGACTGTGAAGACGATGAAGAAGAATCAGATGAAGATGATGAAAAAGGATTAGGTCAGAATCAGGAGGAATCAGACGCAATGGAACATAAAAAAAATACAGATGAGTCCAGCATTGAGGAGTGTAGAAGGGATCTTGAGGATCTCTCAGTGAAACTGAAGGCAGAAGAGTGTCCATCTTCAAAATCTGTGGAAGAGGCAATGGAACCAGTAGAAGATAAAACTGCATCCAGTTCTTGCACTGTAGACACTGACTTTGTTACATCAGATCATTTGTTCAGCCGGACCGAGTTGATCGAGATGTTCAGAACAATTCATACAAAGAAGAGAGTATCAGAAAAAGCAGTTACCATTGGTCTTGTAGGGTATCCCAACGTAGGAAAAAGTTCAACTATAAATTGTCTCATGCTAGAAAAGAAAGTTTCAGTTTCGGCCACGCCAGGAAAAACCAAACACTTTCAGGTATATACATGTCTTTATACTTCCTGTGTGTTTCTCAAAATAACTCAGTCCTTTGTTCTCTTTCTAAATACATGCGTAAGCTGAAGATTGATATATTTTAAATTCATATGATAGACCCTACTTGATCATGATTCCAACTTGCATGAATTTCCTCTATCACTAAAAAAATGTAACTCATTCTCATGCACTACTGTCATGGTTTCACTTTTTCATAATTCTTTACTGTTAGCCTCGTGCAGTAAGATGGTAGTGATGCAGTTAAGTAGTTATACATAATAGTTTGAAAGAGTTTGTAAAGAATTTATCTATATTGAATTCCTTGTATATAAATTTAGTGCCATGCTATATATACCCTATCATCAGTCTTAATAGGGGAAAATACTGTTTCATTTTTGACAAAATTACATTTTTAAGATGTTTTATGCCTTGCTATAAGGTTTGCATATTACCAGCCTTGAATATCACATTCACATGTTCAAGCTATTATATGCCATTTGTATGTTAACTTTTAAAACCATTCTTTTTCAGAGGAAGCCAAATATTTCTCGTCATCTTGGATATGAATTTTAAGACCTTTGATCATATATGTCTCAGATATCAACTTTTCTTCTTTCCTTCTTTCTTTTTTAGACTCTTTACCTGACAGACAACATCATCCTTTGTGACTGTCCAGGGCTAGTGTTCCCAGGATTTGTAAGCACCAAACAGGAAATGATAATCTCAGGAATTCTACCTATTGATCAGGTTAGTGCATCTTGCATTTTTGTGATCATGTTTTTGAGAATAATCAGTATTGCTGTATGAGGTGAGTGCTTGATAATGTTTAGAAAAGAAGAATTGCCATGGTAACTGCTTGATGTTTAAGTACTTATCTTCTCTATTTTAAATTGTGTATTTGGATTCCATTTACATTTACTATTATGAAACAGATGAGAGACGAAGTTCCCCCTGTTAATCTCGTTGCAAGTCGAATCCCACGGAGTGTAATTGAAAATATCTATAACATCACTCTGCCTTCACCAAAAGAAGGGGAAGATCCTGACCGTCCACCCACGTGTGAAGAACTTCTTAACACTTATGGATGTAAGTGTAGAACTTTAACCCCTCGGAGTTCTTTCATTTTACAAATAAATATATATATATAATTTCTGTTTGAAAAATATAATAATCTTTCAAAAGACCAATTTACTTGTATTACTCTTATATTTAACCTAGGTAGCAGGATTAAAAGCATGCTTACCTTGGGAAAAAAAAATTAATTAACAAGGTATTAATTGAAATTATTTTGGCATGATTAGCATCAGGCATAGAAAAGCATCTGTTGATTGCATTTCACATCATTCATATTTAACCCTCATCTCATTAACATATTTCTTAGTATTACACATATTAATGTCTGCCTTTTAGGATTCTTGGCTTAGAACAGACATGCCAGGTTTTTTTCAGTAGCTTACTTGTCTACCAATGTGATAAAGGTTCTTTCTTAATATTCTATTTTTTACCTACTTTAATCTCCAGTTATGCGTGGATTCATGACCAAGCACGGGCGCCCTGACAATCCACGTACAGCCCGAGTTGTTCTTAAGGACTACATGAATGGCAAGCTTCTGTATGCCCATGCTCCACCTAATGTTTCACAGGAGGAGTACCACAAGCACACGCTTACAAAGGTATGGGTCCTAGGGTTGCCTTAGAGTCCTTTCACTTTAGGTTGATGTATAGAAGTAGACTTGACTTGACTGAATCATTAATCATCAACTTTGTGTTTTGTTTTGTGTCAGTCTGTGTGTTCATTCGTGTTAGATCAAATCATACCAAAAGTATGATTTGTACAAAATGCAAAGAAAGTGATCAATAGTGTTTCAAATTTTTCAAAAGAGTCAATGCAACTTCTCCTTCTTCTTCTTCTTCTTTGTCTTCCTTTCTTTTTTTTCTTTTTTTTCTCTTTTTTTGTGTGTTGATCTGTGTCCTGACTTGCATTGTAGGATTTACCTAAAATAAGTTTCTATTTGTTTTTGTTCATACAGATTCATAAATCAGGACCAAGTAAGCCAACCCCACAACAGATAAAAAATATGGTGAGTAATGTTAATAGGCATTATTTGCCATTGTGATCAATGGAAAAAAAATCATGGTTTGTCTTGTGATTACTAATGCCTCATTAATGAAATTAAGATTCTGTAAATCTGTTATGGTTATCTATTATAATTGTGGCTCTGAAGAGTAACTATGATTTGCTTGTTTGTAGAATTCCTCAAATCAGATTTTTTTTCTTTCTAGCCCTACCAAGCAAGGTCAGAGGTGATAGACCAGAAATTCTTTGAAAAACAGGTTGCCTCTTTTCATATTAAAGAAACAGCCAGAAGAAGTGGTGCACAACCAGCAGTGAGGTAGGTTGTAGTATGCTGTAGGTATTTGCTTCTGCTGCTGTTAATATTAAAAGATTTTTATTTAATTTCTTTTTATAGGTTGTTTTTGTGCTCTGGTATACGTGATAGATATAGAATACCACTTTGAAGAAAAACTTGCCAGGACATAAACGTGCATTTTTGTTTTTTAATCTTTTTTTTCTTCATCCCTGGATATGTAATTAGCTTCTCAAAAATATATATATATTTTGAATGGATTGCTTGTAAAGTTAGTTAGTCATACTTGATTTTAAGAGAAAGTTTCTAAGCAGTTTTACATGGCCTAAAGTTGAGAATAATACTTTCTTTGATTCATGTTCTTTTCTCTCTGCTTTCCTTCTCTCACTTTTCTGCACTCATTTTATCCTGTCTCTTCTCATTTTATTTCTTTTTTGTTTTTCCTCTCCATCTATTTCTCTTTTTCTCTCGCCTCCCCTCCAATGCCATTCCCTTCTCCCTTCTGCTCTCCAATTATCCCAGCAAAAAGAGTAACAATTTTCAAAAACTTGTAGGGGGAAAAACCATTTATTGCTTCATGGCTATTCCAGCTTTTTCGGATTTGTACAGATATCTTTATCCTTAGGTTCTCATATTTATATCTGCTTCTGTTTCTTTTAGGATTGCAGTTAATGATGGCCCAAAAACCAAGAGGCAAAAGAATTTCAAGAAGAAAGAAAAACTGCGCCGTCGATATGCACACCTGG